AAACTTGCTAGAGGTTCACAATAACTATTGAAATAAATTAACAACCATCTAAAGTTTTGTTTCTTTAGTTATGTTGGTTGACCGCTATAAATGATGCACTAGTTAAAATTAAGACAATAAATGGCATCATTAAACTACGTCTCTTGGCTTTCTCTTAGTAATTTTTGTTCACCTTTTTTGAGCTTTAAAATGTAACATTTCTGAAAAATTTTCCATATCCCATAGAAGGATTTGGAAAAATTAAAATGCTACCCTTTTCCATTTACTGTATTTTCTTCCTGTTTTAAGGGAGTTTCCATTCAAGTGCATTATGCTAGGGGAAATTAAAAGCTGATGTCACCATATTGCCAAAACAACTATTGCCATTAACTAGCACCACCACTTCACTTTCTGCCACCATACAACATCAGCAGCAGTGTCACCACATCACTATCACACTATTGGCAGAACCACCCTTGCACTACACTCTTAATATTTCTGGTAGCCTTAGCAATTACATGTTTAATATTTTCTTTTTACCGTTTCAATCTTGTGCATGAGTGCACTCTTTTCATTTGAATTTTTATTCCTCTTTTACCCAAGATGAAATAGAAAATAAAAAATAAAAATGCAAGCAATCATAGAAAGAAAAACTCTTCTAATGTTGCATCCCAATTTTTTGTCCCATATAAAGCCCAACCATAATATCAGTTTTTTATTTTTAATTATATTGAGAATTATTATAAAAGAAGCCCTCAAATTGGATCTTCTATGTGTTATGATCTCTTACCGAACAAGTTCACTTGCTGAATTTTTATCTGATCATTAAACATCTTGAGTAGGCATGAAGGGTATCTAGAGAATGATCATTATATCTATATATCAAATGTTTAATATCAATATTAGATTTAGCTATGACTAATTTGTTAAAGAAATGAAATAATGGTTGTGGGTTATAATGATATCAATTTTTAACTGCATGAAACTAGCTTACTGAAATAAAGAGGTAAATAAAAATACATTAGGTTCTAGTTCCATTTTGTTAATGTTAAGTATAAAGTGAATAAGACTTGTATGGTCATTAACTCTTACCCAAAAAATAAATTGATTCTCTAGGAAATACTTGGGCTTATGCCTTGAATCTTGCCTTCACCTTTTGACCCATAGGTATGGTATGCACTGGGGACACTCATTTTGACCCATTAAACTAGTTCTTTTGACGATATGGTAAGGTTTAAGGAAACTACATCATTTGCATCCAGACATTTAGTTCACAATGATATTTCAACTTTAACCTCATTGTTCCAAATATTTTAGAGGTAAAAGTCTCTGGTTGCCGTGCAAGTGACATTCATATGAAAAGAAAGGTAAAGGACATTGAGAAAAGGAGCATTTTTTAGCCCTGACTTCTATACAAGAGCAAAAGTTTTTGGACACCATGAAAAAAGAATATGGGTACTTTTCGTCAGAGAAATTAAGAATATTGTACTGTTCTGCTGACATATCTCTCTTTCCTCGGTCTGCACTGGCACTTATTTAAACCTTTCACACTTTTATTTGTGAATCTTGTTGAGCTTGTTGCAGAAATCATACGTTTTTCTTGCAACAAGGTAGTTTGATCTGCCAATATCTGAATTGTGCTTCATTCTTAAACAAGCAATGCTCTGAGCTTCAATTTACTGATCAATTTCCCAAACTATCATTCCAAATTCATAATGAACTATTAAGGCATGGATTGTCTGAAAGCTAATGCCTTGGGATATTGAACATTGGTTATTTGATTGAATATATATTGTTAATTTTGTGGTTATCCATTTCAAATCGTCTGAGTTTCCAGATAGATTGTAAATTTTTCAATTTCGATTTATGGGTCTTAGATATTGCAGATTTTTTTACTAGTTGAATGTCAGATAATTGCTGCGTTTTATGCAATTTATAAGTTCTTTTTGTAATTACTAGAAGCAAAATTTGGACTTCAGCATATCTTTCTCATTAAGTTAGACGTGTGAGAATTTGCCATATCTGTTCATGTAGAGGATGTGCTGTAACGACATGTTTTTTCCCCATGTGCAGTGCTGACAGATCTCATCTAAAGAGGAAACTGGATCTTGAATTCCAGCATCCTGAATAAGAATATTTACCTTAATCTTACTGGATTTGGAAATTTCTATAGAGGATAAATTATTTCTGGTCCTGCATTTGTGAGGCATGCTGTGAGTCTCAAGCTGGTTGTAATTATATGGCGGTGTGTCCCCTTTCTCATGATGGCTTGCCAGACCCTTCAGTTGGCTATTTTCTGCCCAGAGATTAAAAGGAAGCATCTGTACTGCTGATCATTGCTTCTTTTTCTTTTTTACCCCACTTGTTTGAAGCTGTGGCCTTAAGTCATAAATAGTTGTCAAACAAAAAAGAGAGAAATATGAATTTTTTTTCACCTTTTCAGATAATCTACACTGGTCGGAACACTTTTTTACTATAGTCTATGCTTGAGAGAAGTTGGACACGGTAATTAATTTTCTATATAAATTGTGATTGTTGTTGAGTGCACTTTGTTTTCTCTCGGTGAGCTGCATGAGAAAAGATTTACAAGCACCTAAGAAATTTTATGTATATTTTTTTTCCCAATAATTGTTCAATGGTCACAAGTTATTTCATCTTTGTATTGAGTGCGGGGCCTGTATCTACCTTTCCCGTTTCAGGTAAGCAGTCATTAGACATTGTTGTACAATTAGGTGCCTGTGATTTGCAGTTTATTTGAATTTCTAGCTTCGTGATCCGGGGAACTGTGTGTTGACCTGTGGATTTTGTAGGAAAAGAAACATTATTGAATGTAATAACTGGCATGTTATTTTAATGCATTGTTGTAGTTTCTAAGTTGTATAGACTGTATGTTTTTGCATTTAAAAATAATTTAGAAAAAAATTGATTTTTTAAAAAATTTCTCTTTGAATTAATATTTTTTTTAATGTCAAAAATGATTTTTTTAAATAAAAAAATAATTTAATGTATTTTTGAATGAAAATCATTTTGAAAAGGATTAAATTTGATATAAAAATTAAATGAGAGATGAAATTAAAAAATAAAACAAATTAAGATAAGAATTAAAAATAATAAAATTGCAATAATGAGATTTATATATAATAGTTTTTAAATTTAAGGAGGATGAAAGTGAAAAAAAAATTAATTTTATAAATTATTTTAAATAAAATAAATAATAATTAAAATAATATGGACAGGATTTGAATGGAAGAAAATTAAGTGGCTGGTTTGAAAAATTGTAGGGGGTTGACATAAAAATAGAGGATGATAGAGAAGTGGTTCATTGACTACACAAACTACCTTGTAACGGAGGGGCCATTTAGATGTTCAAATGACATCTTTGAAGGCATTATTAGGGTGCTGGAAGGGTGGGCGTCTCTTACTTGTTGGCTTGGCTTTGCATGTGTTAAACATTTATATTTTTAATTATATTTTATTTTTATTAAAAAATTAAATCATTAATTTGAACTTAATTACAGCATAAAAACCAAGTTGAAAATGCAAAAAAAACCCTTGCATGCCAGCTTAATAATATTTTATTTTAAGAGCAAAATTGGCATTTTCCTATACTTCAAAAAAAAAAGAAGAGAATAAACCCTCAGATACTAGTTTTTTTTTTTTTTTAAAAAAAGGATCTATAATTAATTTTATAGTGTTGAAAAGAAATATAAAAAAATCGAATTGTCCCATTCATTTTGATAGTGATCACCAGATCAAGTGGAAAAAACCAATTTGTCCCAATCATTTTGATAATAACCAATGAATCATGTAAAAAAAATCTTACTATTACCATCAACAAGGTTATTGAATTTTGTAGAAAAAAAAATCATTACATTAGTATTGCCTCGGAAAAGAATTTGCTCTCATATAGCACGACTTATATGTAACAATCGTAGTCAATTTTTTGTGTTTATTAATTGTTTTTATATATTAATATTAAAATAAATTTTAAAAAATTAAAAAATATATTATTTTAATATATTTCAGAACATAAAACAATTTAAAAAATAATTACCAAACATTACTATAATCTGAACATAATCACATGTTTATTATAATAATAACAACGTGTTTATTCTGATAATAACCAATAAATTATGTGATAAAAACCTTACTATTCCCATCAACAAGATCATTGAATTTTGTAAAAGAAACAAAAAAACATCATTACATTAATATTGCTTTGGAAAAGATTTTGCTCTCATGTAAGTAGCATGAGTTATATGTAACATCACTATATTCAGTTTTTAGTGTTTATAAATTGTTTTTATATATTGATATTAAAAATAAATTTAAAAAAATTAAAAAATATATTATTTTAAAAAATTTCCAAACATAACGCACTTTTAAAAAACAATTACAACACACTACCAAAATCATAACATAATCACATGTTTATTCTGATGCTGTTATGACTGAAATCTACAATCTTTCAAAATGTTATCATCCCTTAAACCAACTTCTATTCCTAATTTTGTTAGTTTCAAATTTCTGACAAAAAAAATAAAAATAAAATCGAATGTGTAACTGTGGCTCTACCTCAAACCCTTGACACTATATCTTTAATGGTTTGATGACCAAGTCAGTTTTGAAAACCTTGGGTAGATTATGCTTTGCTGCTTTGTTTCATTTCTCGATTGGATTGGTCGACTCCTCCCTGCTACTTGATATCAATAAGGAAATCTATGGATGGATGACAACGTATTCCTGCTAGAGAAGTAGACAGCAGCACTACTGCCACTGTTAACACATTAACCAGTCACTGTTACAGACGTATCATCGGACCCAACTCAAGCTCAAGCTTCTGAGCACACACAGCATCAAGGTTCAGTTAGAGAATGGCGTAGCGTATGTAGTTTTGTTCACCATCTTCCTTTAACAATGGGGCAGCTTCCATTTGATTACTTTCTCCTACTGAAACCAAATTGTGGCTGTAAGCCTGTAACACTCTCGGAACTTTTTAGTTAGTGATCTTCAGTGGTTCAGAACTCAATCAGGAAACGTATGAGCCACATTTAACATATAGTTCAGCGCACAATCCTCAAGAAAGCATGCATAACATACATTTCAGATCTCAGGAATAAAACTCAATACAAATGGAACAACATTCTTCAAAGCTTAACCGATCTTGTATTCTACTTTGTGGCCTGGGCAATGATATTGCTTATCGAACTGGCCTGCTCTTTTGCAGTCTCTACCAATGAGTCCTGCAGTTCAAATAGGGTAGCGCTCAGATATCCTGACAAATCAACAAATGAAGACATTGTACACAGGCCGGGAAGGGCAGTACCTGAGCAGCTATTAGCCTAGCAACTGTTTTCTTGCTGGACTCTTGAAGCTCACCAGCTATCAAAATCTCATCCAATATATAATAGGCCTTCAATGTTTAAAGCAGCAAATAAATAAATAAATAAGCAAAGATACTTTCATATCCATGCATGCAATGAGACAGGTAAAATATGTCTTATTTGCAAGGGCGTGTTTGGAACAAACCACTTCTTGCATCAACTATCACTTACAGCATGGTGTAGGCCAAATTTAAATTTCAAATGCTATAAAACAAAGAATAAGTTGAACCGAAAACAAGCAAGCATACCTTGTGGAAGTTGAAGATCAAGTCCAACTCGCAGACCTGGAGGCAAATCAGAATTACTGAACTATCAATAAATGCAAACAATTAAATGGAAACTAGAACACCACACCAAGGACCTTGCAGCCCTTGTGATAAACCACAGTCTATGTTCACTCACACTGCCAAAGTATCGGTCCAAAATCTCAACAAAATGGTGAATTATTTCGAGGACCTCTAATTCATTGTCGTCCTGATCAGTGCACATGCAGAAGTAAAGGCTAGCATATCTGCGTGATACGCACATTGGAACCAACAAAAATTATCAGCTCTAAGATGGATGATGAACATATTCTGGAGATTCACTGAAAAACACTCAATCATATTTTATCTTTACCTTTTATAAACAACTTTCTGTCCTCTCCATTCAACAAAATTACAAAGCTTGGGTCCTCGAGTCAAAATTACTCCACTGAGCTCACGGATTACCTTCTCAAGGCACATTAAAGTACACAAATAAGTATCAATGATGTAAGAAAATGCACATTAATTTTAGAGAAGTATCAATAGATAATGTTCAAGATATAATTGAAAAGTGTAAAACAGGTATGACATGGGTCAAAAACTCATCAACAACATAGCAAATCAAAAACAGGTGATGATCTACAACACAACAATCTCAAAGACAAGAAATATTGGCACTACCTTACTTCTTTCCTTCTGTGTATAAGGTGAATACCATTTTGTCAATCTCACTTTTCCTTGTCGACTAATGAGAAGTACAAATTGAATCTGAAATATGCAGGTAGATAAACATTAAAACCACCACTAACATAGAAACTTTACACTTTGTATTCAATTCACAATTGCTGAAACAAATTAATTGATTGAACACCAGATCCTGCAGATAAAAGCATTTATTTGGAAAATTTGCATGAGATTCAATGGTTTATATTCATCTCAAGCTCTACATGCATAAAAACTAATGCAATAGTTACTACTTTGTTCACCAGTTCTTCCTGCCCCCTTCACTTCGGAGAACTATTGACAACAGAAAGTTCCTTCCAATCTAAGTAAGTTTTCATCCATGACACATATGTTCCGAAACAAAGCATGATAATCTTGCTCTTTGACAATTAATTACAAGTTGAACTTCTTAACATTGTATCTAATCAGTTGTAATTTTCAGTGATTAGTATTACCACTGATCTTGTAATGTACAGAAATGACACATCAAGTGTCAAATAGGTCTATTTTCCTGTCCAAGTGGCCTACAAGTTCCAGTAGTTTTATATGGTAATTAAAATAGACATATTGCGCCTGCCATTCCAAAATCACATAGCAGATCACACTTCATCCAAAGCACCTTACGCATCGCATGCTTATCCAACTAAAGCAATTTCATCGAACCAATTCATCACCTTAAAACTACAACCATTAGATTTCTAATACTCTAATTACATAGCATGTTCATCGAAATTCTGAGTTTACAGATAAAACCTTATTTCCCGCCAATTATAAACCAGTACAACCAATTACTCGAACCATTGAAGATCCTCAATAACCAATCATTGTTTCACAACATGACTGCAAATTGAAAAGAAACCCTTGATCCCACATACGCTAAAACCCGAGAAGGGAGGAAAAAATCCCATCAGATGTTACCATCAGATCTAAACTCCCATACATGTTATAAGATGAATATTAAATCATTCAGCACCATATCCCCATCATAGGTTTTGATCCCTTTAACATAACAAATACAGTATCTGAAAATAAATTCCACAACATATAAAGAAGAAAACAAAATGGGAATTCTCTAAGACCAGAATTAAAGCAACATGTTCAAAAGATGGGTTTTCAATATAAAAGTCACCATTTTGTTTGTGTTGACCAATTTGGTGAGCGACCCCGAATCGATAATTTCCACAAACTGAGAAAAGCAGAGAGGATTGAGCTGGATTCAGCAGATGGGTCTACTGGTAATTAGAGTCGTCGCTCTTTGCTTGCTTGCTTTTACGTTGAAAGTTTCTGATCTGGGAGAAGACGAGAAGGAAAAGGAAGGGAGCTGTGGGTATGTTATCGAACTATAAAGTGCTGTATAGCCCATATCAGTCCAGACAAGATCCTTGTTTTTTGGGTCTACATCCATACAGCTTTATGGGCTTGATCGATCGAGCTAGTTCATCAATGAATTATTTTTATTAAAAATATATAGTTTTGTTTAATTTAATGTCAATTAAATCGAGTTGGACGAGATCAATAGAGTTTCACAAAATTAATTCCTTCTCTGATTTTAAAAAATTATAAATAATTATCACGGTTGGTTTCACTTTTATAAAAATGCTATCTTAGCTATTTATATCATTTTACATGGCAGCGATTGGTTCAAAATCTTTTTCTTCAATTTTACTTTTTAATTATATTGAGGAAAACACATTTATGAATGTAATATTTAGTATTATATTAATAGAATAAAATCATACATATAATTGTTGATTATATATACATATATTTTAACATAGATATAAAATATTAATCTATTATGTTAATAGGATTGAGCAGCACCAAAATGATGCATTGAAAATACTAATTGAGCTTATTATAAAGTTTAAAATTAAAAATATCTGATAAAAATTGATTGAGCTAATTCAGAATATTTAAGTTAAAAAATTATAAATTTATCAAATTAAATATTTATATATTGTTTGGTTTATATCTGAAGTTATGTATAAAATTTATTGTGATTTAAGTTAAGATAGAAGCTAGACCTCTCAAGTTTTTTATTCATATATAATATGGTTAGTAACTCATCTAGAAAAGATAAAACAATATATTTAAAGTTATACTTGAAATCTATTAGCAAATAATTTTTACTATGTAAGAATTCCTTATGTAAAATTCTTCTTTTACAAGAAAAGATTTTAGTAATCTTAAGATCATTAGAAGTTTTATTTTTGTAAGGAGAGAAGTGGTTACTTGGGAGTTTTGTTTTGCATTAAATCCTTAATTTTCAAGGATACCAAGTTAGTAGCTTATGGTTTGGACAAAGAGATGCTTTTTTGAGATTATTTTTTTATGCATAAATTTTATGCTAACAAGTATAAATTTTGATTTTATTTGTGGTTAGATTTTAAATTTTTTTAAATGATTCTAGCTGCCTTACTTTATATAAGGTTAAAATTTTATAGTGATCAAATATCATGAAAGCCTTGCGATAAAAACTAGAAGATACTATGTGAAAATTATATTAGTTTTTTAATAGATTTTTTCAATTTTTAAATTTTTTTTGTTATTTTTCTAGTATTGTTTAAGATATTTTTACCTATTATAAATAAATTTTATTTAGCTTATATTTAAAGTTTTTTTAAGAAGATTTATATTTAGCTTATATTTAGATTTTGGCAATTAGTATTATATGTATCAGATTGCTCATACTTTTAATTCTTTATTGAACTTTTCTTGAATTTATTAAAGATCATCTATCTTTATAGAGTTTTATCCTTATATCTATAGTTCTTGATTTATTATAATGAACGAGTTGGAGTTTTATCGTTACATCTATGGTTCTTGAATTGTTATAATCAAAAGGTCAAAATTTTATATCTAGCAATTTTGGTCTCTTGGTTCAGGTAATCACTGAGTTTTTACTAATAATACAATTGCTTTCTTGAGTTGTTTTTGTTTACATGTGGGTTTAAAGGTTCTTGTCTTTTGGTTCCTATCAAGGATATCCAATGCACCATGAAAATAATTTTATACTTGATGGTGTTAAAAAATACATTATAATATAGAACATGTTAATTGTTATACTATATGATTATAGTATATTACATCATATAATATTTTATATTTATATAAAAAAGATAATAAAGAAAAGAATTTTCAATGCACATCATCATAGGCTGATAAATATTTTTGAACTTATTTTCTATGAAAATACAAAGATCGAAACTAATTCATAATCTATGAAAAATCATTTTTCAAGACATTTATTTTCTAAAAAGAATTTATACAACACACAACCATGCCTAATAACAAATAAAAAATATTTAATACTATAATGAGCTAGCTTTCAGAGAAAGAAAAATGATTTTCTAAGAGCTGAAGAACGATAACAAGAAGAGGAAAAAACATTATTGTCCCTGAAATACCAAAGGTATGCTTGAACTTCATAGCATAGACTGGAGTTGATTAGTGTGACAAAATGTTTCACAAATTAATTAAAAAAATTAAAAGAGCCATTTTATATATAATATTTGTATTGTTTGATTCGACTCAATTTATCAAAATTAGATAATATGAATATTATATATGATAATGGGTAAAAAAACCTAATAAACAAATATCACGGGTCGAGGGAGAGTTGAGATTTTTAAAACTCACTCAACCCAATCCAACTTATATAACCCAATGTAAGTAACTTGAATTCTTGGTATAAATAATATTTTCCTTTCTCTCCTATAATTTCTTCCCTCTATTATCTTCATAGAAGTTATAGTTGTTCCTTTAAAAGTTTAATATACAATTTCAATATTTTCTATTTGATAACCAAGAAATCATGACAAAACAAATGAAAATTTCAAGAATTCTAATTGAGCTTTTATTTTCTTAGTCAAACCACAAACCTAAAAGTACTTTATAGTTTTTTCCAACTAGTTTGTTTTTATATCATATTACACCCTAACTATTGGATAAATACTTGATTGTGATTACTATTTTATTTTGTTTTTATATGAAAATTGTGATAGTTTTTATATTGTCTTTAATATATACATTTTAGAGGTCTTATCTAGTTCTAATAGTTGCAACTCAATATTTTTTTAGAATCGTTAAAGAATAAGAAAATTAATATGCTCAATTTGCATACATCTATAATAGCCATATAAAAAATTTAGCATAACCTGATATATTTAACCTCCTCAAATCTAAAAAAATTGAATGGGTTAGGTTTATATTTTGTAAAATATCAAAAGTTAAGTTTGATATAATTATAGGTTAAAGCCCAACCCACTATAGTCACGAACAACCTTAGTTATTTGTGGTACAAAGACTTCATATGTAAGGTCTAAATATCTCATTAATAATCTAAAACATTTATTAAGTTTGAGTTAGTGTGTTGCGGAACTCTAATCATGCTCTCCTAGGTAAAATGAGGAGCATCTCAGAATTAGAAACCTCATACCATAACATAACCCTAAAAATAAAAAGAATATTATAAGAACAAACATTTAATATTTTTAAAGATATGATTAATTGAATTTTGATAGCCTAGGGACATAACCTAGTCCCTATTTACAAGGCTCCCTATCTAGGAATGGAAATATATACGAGTTTTGCAATATCTATAATCAAATCTGAACTTAAGATTTTTACCAAAACTCGACCAAAACTTGATCAAGTATAAATCAAACTCGACTTGATCAAGTTTTAGGTATCCATAGGGTATTTGTCGAGCATCCCAAACTATAATATTCTTTTGCCAATTCAATGACAAACAAAAACAAAGAATCTTCTTCTATGAAAATCCAAAACCACATCCAATAAAATCCAAAACCACGATTTAAATCTAGTCCAATCAATTACATAAAATAACCTATCTTAACCCCAGAATAAGATAAGACACTCTAAAGAAAAACAAAGTAACAATATCCCTAACAAATTATTTCCTTACAACCATTGTTTCAACATTCCAACTATCAGCTATTCTAAGTACATCAACTTCTTTTAAAAGATCAAACTCCTCCATTTCTTCTTCAACTCCTTAATACATTTAGCCAACAACTGACCATATTCCTTGTTTCTCTTTAACAACTCAACATCATTTTTATAACTAACAACCTAAATAATCCCCAAAGAACATAAAAGATCACACAATGAAAGGATCCATGATCTCTAACAAGATTTCAATTCTTTAGCTTTAAAAAGGTTATTAGAGAATGAGTTGAAGCAAATAAATGAACAAGAAAAGAAAAAAAATTATTGAAGAAAAAAAAAGTGGCTAAAGAAGAAAGACGGTGAAATGTGAAACAAACCCTAAATTTTTAATTTATACATGCTTGATAAAATTGCAATTTTTTCAAACTCTAAAGATATTTTATATTAATATGGTTTAGGTTAGGCATGACATTATCAATATTATCAATTTTTGACTTCATGTATTGCTTGTACTTGTCTTGATCTTGAATGGGTAAAAACATTTCTTGTCCATTTGGGTCAGTATCTATTGGGTTCAGGTGAAATTGCTGTCTATATTCTTGTATGCTTGAGAGACAACTAGTTATTTTTTAACGCAACACATCTTTTTTTTGAAATTAATTATGAGTTAATAAATAAATTAATGCATATATTTAATTAAAGAAATTAGGAATTATATGCATTAACAAATATAGAAAAAAGTTATTAACACTAATTAAAGATTAAACTAGAAAGTTGAGCGATAGATGTAACTCTTAACATATACCATGAACAACAAGTGAACTGGTAGCTTAACTAGCAATAATTAAGTGGTAAGGAGTTATCAAAGGGGAGAGGTCTGATTAGTACTTAAAAGTGCATTTTTTATCAAGGTTTTATATCATCATTTTGCACTTGAAGTATCAATAACTCTTTAATTAAAACATGTTTTATAATAACATATCTAATAATATAAGATACTTTTAATTTGTGGTAAATATTTATTTTAAATACAGGCCTATCATATAAATGAAAGGATTGATTGATGAATTTAAGGACTGAAATTGAAAGGACAAAGAGATGGCCAAACTTAGAAAAGAGGGGTCGGT